GGGGGGCTGCATGGTTAGAAAATAGAAATGGTCATCACCAACTGAGTTTTGGGTGAAGGGCTTGGAGGTTAGGGTTTCGGGCTAAGGGGTTTAGGGTTTAGGGCTTGGGGATTAAGCCTTCAACCCAACCCTCCCTAGCACCCCGGAGCCTGTTCTACCAATGGCAAATCCTCACCCGAACGGACTTGTTTTCCGTCATGATCCACCAAGGAGGAAGAGCCGCCTTTTGAGGCACGTCTGCTGGAGAAGGATATATTTGATACTGATACTGATATCGAAGCGTTGGCTGTTGTTAGACCTGTATGTGTAGTCGCAACGAGACACATGTTACACAAAGGCACGTATGATTCTTGATGACAGCAAGAACGACCACCCACCACTCGAGCAAGCAGAAGACAGTTCATAGGATCACTTCTACGGGACCCCACCCCAAAGTCCAACCCTACATCCAAACCCTCGACAGGCGTACACAAGCCAGTTGTCAAGTTGCGGGTGCGTTTTTCGTTAAAGCACCGAAATCTCTCAACTTGGACGCTCTTTGAGCCGAGCCGTGAGCAAATAAACAACCCTAAACTTCTACGTGCGAGGCTCTGAACTTGCATATCCTAAGCCGCAAAATCCCGGAGCCTTTAAGCCTCGAAGTGTAGGCACCGATGACTCATGAGCGGGTCCTTAAACCTCCATGCCCCCAGCGGTGAAACCTTCTTATCCCGAATACTTGCCTCTGAGCTGTTGCAGGCCATGACACATCACTCGCTCGTTCGAGCGGTGCCTGGGCGAAATGCTGGACACTAGCGTTTGTAGGGTTGTTCGTGCTGTGGGGTTGGGTCCAGCTAGCAACCAGCAATACGAGAAGCTTCCATCAGCGCCATCCTCATCATGAGCAACATCCTCAGCATCAGCACATCTTCGTCAGCATGAGGATCAGCTTCAGCATATCCGCAGGCAGCAACACTATGAGGGCAGTAGGCACCCAAAACACAAAATGGTAACCCGAGCACATACTGTGCAGTTCTCCGTTGTTGGGCACAGGATTGACAAACAACTGTGTAGGCTTCAGGCTCCGGGAAAGGGTGCAAGGTCTAGCCGCTCGTCTGGAAGCCTATACCCCAAGCTCCAAGCATCCACGAGGTCAGGGACTTCTGCTGGCTGAACTTCACCAGCAACGAGAAAGTGAGGTGCACGGCCTCGGGGATCCTAAAAGCACAGGGCTCGCGAGGAGGACCTGGCACTTGAGGGTGCAAAAGGTGAGGGCTTTTAGTGGTTCAGGCATTTAGGGCTTGGGGTTGGCTTACTGGGCTGCGGCTTCATGATCATGACTCCAGCTTGTTTTGCACTTCAGAATCTAGCCCTGCTTACAAGTTGCACGAGTCGATGCTTGCTTGTCTCGCGTTGCCTTACATCTGCGATGGTTTCCTTCTCTCCACCCGTGAGGGAGCTTCTGCCGAGGGCCTGGAAGTCTGGACCCACGCGAGGAAAACAGGAACTGAACAATCGAAACGCTTGACTCCAAGCCGTAAGCTCGTACGGTGCAGTAAGGTCTTAAGTTGAAGTTTCGACGTAGCCCTTGACTGATCCTCTGTAGCCGTCGGTGGCATTGTGGCTGGACGTGGCAGTAGCCAAACCCTCCAAGAAGAACTCGAAACTCAAGAGCCTGGGGCGAAGTGAAGCCACGATTTAGGGTTTAAGGACGTTTAGGGTGTAATTAGCATTTAGTCCAGTCCAGAATAGACCCTGTGCCTGCAAAGGTGGGGCACCATCAAGCAGATATTGCTTGACACGTACACGAACCTTTTCAAGCTCGCGTATCTTGGATGTGACGGCCCTGCTTTGAGACGTCAGGCCCCAGTCCCAATGTGAAGGAATCAGGGTTTCAGCACTTTCGGGTTTTGGGGTGGGAAGGGGCTTCCTTCGGATTTTGCCTGACATGCGAGTCGGAGGATCTCGGGCCGAGGCGAGACAGATCAGAAATCCGTGCCAGGGGCTGGAGTGACTCAAGGCTTTCGGGTTTAAGGTCGCAGGGTTTAGGGCCTTAGCAAGAGCATCATCATCGTCGTCATGACGGAGATTGTGTTGTTGGTGGTGACTATGGCAGCTCTGCGATGTTTGAAGAACGACACCAGTGGTCATGAGTGCTAGAAACCATTGAGAGCACAACCATCATAGTCGTAGTAAGAACGGTGATGATAGGAAGTGTCTGGATCGGTGCCGGATGCCTACAGCCATGGTGCTCCAGCTGAATCTTGGGTTGTCGAGATTCGGCTTGAACCTGGCTCTTCTTGTTGATTTTCGTCTGGACCCGTGAAGTCTAAGGACTTTATACCTTCGGGTCTACTTCCTGGACCACATTCTCAAGCCCCTTTCATGCCAAAGAGATGGAACCCAACCCGAACTGAGCCCTACACAGGGGGAGCTGGGGGATCTGCACCTGGATTGCGGATTTTGGGTGTGGCTTTCCAACAAGAGGGCGGGTTAAGGTTAGGGTCACTTTGCACACGGCATCTCACATGTCTGCATCCGAGACACGTACTAGCCTGGCTGCGCCTAGTTGTGAGTGCAGAAACCTTTCAAATTCAGGAACTTTGCACCCGAGAACCGGGGAGAGGCTTCATCTCAGGACGGACGTCGACGAGTCCTCACTCTGGCTTATTCAAGATCGTTACGAGTCCCTGTATCTTTACATGGCGGCCCTGACGCTCTTCAGCACTTGGCTCCAGGGTTTTTAACAGTGTTTTTGGGGGTCATGCTTCAGAGAGTCGCTGCGTCATGGAGACGGCCCTTTGTGTCTTCTTCACTTGTTGGCAGTCGTCGCTGAGTCCGGCATGCTCTCTGCATGATCCCTAGCAGCTACTACCTCGACACAAAAACCCAGCACAGAAGCTTGATTGATAAAAGATGTCCGTGTCCGTGTGGACTGTGCCGTCGTACATGAGTGCGGTGGCAAGAACAGTCGTAGGTGTCTATTCACCATCATAGTTCTCGTTACCATCATCGCAAGAACCCACAGCCATGATTATCATATTTCATGCTATGTTGGTTGAAAGTAATGCGATCCTGCCAAGTGGCGACTGGAGACTCGCTGGCCCTTGGCTATTGGTTGTGGGGATGCGGGAAAACGCATTGTCTTGGTAGGTCCGCAGCTCGGTTCAGTTCAGGGCCCTTCTAGGGGTTTAGGGTCAGGGTTCTGGGATTACAGGGTTTCGAGACTGCGCGCGTGTGAGAGGCGAGGGCTCCTTGCTCCTTGCCTGCCTGCCTGCGTTTCTTTAGGATGCGGGGTGCCAAGTCCCAAGAATGGAAGAGCTTCTCCTATGAATTCAGAGTGGAGGATCGTGCCGTTTGGCATCTCCCACTTGCTTCACTACCTGAAGCTTGGCCGGAGCCTCAGAGTTGGAGCTTTGGAGTCGAATCCTCAAGGCCTAGTGGCCTAGTGCACAGGAAGCCGTTCTGCGAGAGTGCGAATGCCATGAAGGGTAATGTCTCATGAAGCTTCCTCTCTAAGTCCTGTTTGTGTGATGTCACATCAGGCTATCGCACGAAATCCTCTTTGTGTCGAAACCCTGTTATCAGGTTGGGGCATACCCGGTACGACCACCACTTGGATCCAGTCGGCCCTCTTGCGGCGCTACTTGTGCCCGGGACTGCATAGCTTCGGGGGCCAACACTGAAATCTTCGGCTCCAAGAGCTCAAAACTTCCAGCTTTAGGCGAGGGTTTTGCAGCTTTCGGGCTTCAGACTCCGGGTTTAAGGTTTGTTGCTCAGGGTCCAGGCCAGGCGCAGCTGCAGCTCTTGGACAGTTTTGTGCTTTTTTGCTCAAGTCTGGGCCTCTTGAACATCAATCATGTCCGTGCATCTTGAACACGGGGCTGAAACCTGAAACCCTGCACTAGAAAGCCGAGGCCAGGGTACCAACATCCGAAACTTCCACCTCCGAAATTATTGACCTCTACAGCGGTCCATGTCACATCCCGAAAAACCGTCAAAGTCGAACCCTAAATGAAACCCTATCAATATTACCCGGACTGGAAATTCCACGCCGTGAAGCCCAAACCTGTGTCCAGACATAGACGACAAGTCAGGGACACGTAACGCATCGCAGAACTTTCCAGAGTTTCGACAGCCCCGAGCAAAGGCAGAGCCAAGTCAGAAATCTGCCTTCTTATCGAGACTTGCGCATGTCCGCAAGTTTCTCAAAGCCGACACCCTGCACTCTGTACCCCGAAACCTCAAAGCCTAGATCCCAAATCCTAAATGACCCCCAAAATCCGAAACCCTGAAAAGGCAGGACCCAGCCAAACTTGGTCCGTTTCTGGTGCCTCAAAGCCTCTTGCTAGTTCCCGAACCGAAGGGCTTCGCCTTTTTTGGGGCCTCTGGGATTTAGGCTCCAGGGTTTGGGGTTTTTAGGGTTCAGGACCTTGGCTGGCTAGACTTTGTCCAGTAGCACAAAGGGTTCAGGAAATTTCGAGCACCTCGTCTCAGCCCTATAGACTTTAAAAGCGACTCGTTGGGTGCCAGAGCGAGGAACTACAGCACGGCCTCGCAGAATCTCACGAAGCCTGCACAAGTCACTGTGGCATTGACGCTTGTCGAGATCAGTGGCTGGAAGTCTTTCTCCAATAGTCAAGACATACTTGCATGTACCGCAAACTCTGCAAACGAACGTGTGCAAGTAAGCAGGTATAATTTTCTGTAAGTACCTCTACCTGCCCACCTCCCTACCTACCTCCTGCCTTCCTGCCTTCCTGCCTCTACCTACCTACCTACCTACCTACCTACCTACCTACCTACCTACCCACCTAACTACCTGTCTGCCTGCCTGCCTGCCTACCTGCCTACTCACCTTGCTTGCTTACCCACCTACCTACCGACCTGCCTACCTACCTGCCTACCTACCTGCCTACCTACCTGCCTACCTGCCTACCTGCCTGCCTACCTGCCTGCCTACCTGCCTACCTACCTGCCTACCTACTTAAAAAGGTCCAGCCAGAAAAAGGTTGAATGGTAGCCCACAGAGCTACACGGCATGCATGAGGAAGCCGAACGTTTGTACTTCGCTGTGACCCTGAAATCTCATCCTGGCCGTACCTTTCAGCAGGGCGGTGGGCTCAATGCACATTTTCGGTTCTGGTGTTCCACATCTCCGGATCTTCGAAGTTTGTTCAGGAGCCTCGGATCCTAGAAACGAGCCTAAGTCTGAACCCTGCGACCCTAAATCCCAACCCCATAACCCCGAGAGGCCCTAGAGCCTCTGAGCTCCCAGGAATCAGGACGCCTTCATGCTGGCCGAGGAGCGTCTCTGAAATTTTGGGGTTCGCTCGGAACAGGTGCAACCCCCCCCCCCCCCTCCAAGTAATTATTTTTCATCGAAAATAATAAAGGTGAGTGCATTCTGCTGCCAGCTTCTTGCTACCCTGAGTGTCTAAAGTTGAAAGCGCGGATTTTCATCCTTGAAGAATGTCGGTTTTCAGCCGGAAATGCTGCGGAGCTCCTTGCCATGCCCCCTCTAGCTACAGGTTTATCTGGCTTTATAACGTTGTAGAGTTCACTCGTTTTGAGCAGGATGGCTACTGCAACATCCTCGCTCTGCATCTCGGCTTTGGTGGTGTGTGAAGTAGCTCTAGCCCTATGCCCGCCCTCCGAAACCCTTCACCCACAGCCCAGGATGGAGAAGCTGGGCAATGTGGCTCCTGGGATGCAAGGATGTGCGGGCTTGGGGGGTTGCGAGCCCAAGATGATGGCGACGTAGGGCTCCCGATTAAGGCTTGAGGACTGGAGGCTTGGAGGTTTAGCATTGGGACGCCCTCCGAGAGTGTGCCGTGGTTCCAGCACTGGGTTCCCCATATCAGAACGGTGCAGAAACAGGCACTATTTTTCGAGCTGCTCTTTTTCGCGGGACCGTGTTCGGAGCCAAAAAGGTTGAACCAAGCACGCCCTCAACTGTCCCGAGGCAGTGATGATCTTCTTCCAGTTCACGGCGCCCGCCGTCTTCGGGAAGCCCTTTCGGCCCATGTCCATCGCTGTGGTGATGGTGTTGCCCTTGGCGGGAAACCCAGCTCTTGTGGCTCCGTGTTGCACTTCTCATGTCCTCGATGTTTGTCAAGCGTCCTTGAAGTGTGTGAAGCCACTCGAACACCCGTGATCCCCAAGCCCGAAGCATTTGGCCCTGAGCTCTAGAGGCCGCGGCTGCCATGTCCCTGGTGTCTGGGTTTCCGGTTCGGTCTTTCCATCACAGCGTAGCCAGGCATCGCTTCGCAAGGGCGGCGCCATCTCCCATCCTGTGCAGGGCTCAAGAGGATGGTGAGCGAGCACAGCGACGGCGCAACTCCTTGGAATACCTGCTGGGGCTCCTCTTGACGCCCTCGGCGGCTGCCGCTGGTGGAATCGGCGCCGGTGCGAGCGCCGCACGGCGCTTGCGGGGGAAGACTGCCGTCGTCACAGGGGCTAGCCGCGGCATCGGCAAGGGCATTGCAGTTGCACTGGGCGAAGCTGGTGCCAAGGTTTTTGTTACCGGCAGGCGGAAAAACGCTGTTGAGGCCACGGCAGCTTTGGCGACGCGCGCCGGCGGCGAAGGTGTGGCCGTCGTGTGCGATCACGCGGTAGACGAGCAGGTGAAGGTCGCGTTTACTCAGATTCAGGAGCAGACGGGTGGAAAGCTTGATATCTTGGTGAACAATGCCTTCCAGGATCCGGCTCAGCGAGATTCCAAAAGTGACGAGCTTCTGGGCAAGGGCGCCAAATTCTTCGAGCTGCCCTTGCAAGTCTGGGATGACGTCCACCGAGTTGGTCTGCGCTCCCACTACGTGGCCTCGTACTATGCAGCGCCACTGCTACTCAATGCTGCCAGCGACGACTGGCGACCCCTGGTGTGTGTGACGTCCGCGCCTGCCGCAGTCACGTACTACTACGCCACTGCCTATGGCGTCGCAAAAGCCGGCAGTGACCGGCTGGTCCGCGATCTGCAGGTGGAGCTCGGCCCTCTTGGCATCGACTGTGTCAGCATCTGGCCCGGGGTGGTCTACACTGAGTTCGTTCAGTCTTTGTATGAAAAAGGCGATGTTGAGAGGATCAACCGCGTGACAGGCGGCCGTGATCCCAACGTGGTTTGCGAAAGTCCGCTGCTCACGGGCCGGGTGATCGGGCGTCTCGCGGAGGAGCCTGGCATCCGGAAGCCACCGCTGCTCAGCTCTGGGGGTCTCACCAGCCGAGTCTGCGTCGTGGCGGAGGGCGCGAGAGATCTCGGCCTGCGCGATGGTGGGCTGCCTGGTACCGTGGCAGCTGAGCTCTACGGCCCCGACCGGGAGCCTGCAGCCTCCATCCGCTCGCTGGGCTATTTGCTGCCTGCTTTCCTTCCAGACAAGCTGCCTCCAAGCTTGCGGTGGCTGGTGGAGCCCGGAGGGCCTTTGGCCAGCAAGGACATCCGGGTGCCCTTCGATCTGATGGCTCAGGATCCCCGCACGGAGGATCCTAGGAAGCAGGATCTGAAAGACTTCGCCAAGGTGCTGACCAACACCGTTTCCGTTCCCGACTAGCTCGAGGCACATCGCCAGCTGAAAGCTGATGGAAGCTGTGGGAAGCACTTGGGCTGAAGCACCGGACACGGTGAGCTCCTTTCCCCTCACACTTCGGCATGGACCAGGCTAGTGCCTGGGTCATTTAGGTGGCCTCTCCTCGTTTCACAACTCCAAGTCTCGACCTTGTGAGCCTTCACGGCCACAACAAAAATTCGGGCTTGGAAGCGTTTCGGCCAGCGATCCGTTGTGCTGAGAATCGCCTAGGATGGGTAGACTTCGCACTGGTTACTCATTTGTCCATTGATTTGAAGTTATCTTTCATTGTCTGATCTGATATGTTTGGGGTCTGCCCACCTTGGTTCAGTTGGCGTCTCGTTGGACCTTGTTGCTGGAATCCGTGCCTGCCTCGAGCGAGTGTGAGAGTCGAAACCCCAAACCGGAAGCCTTAAAACTGCTCGAAACCCTAACTCGGGAGGTGCTTTTCCTTTTCCTGTACTTCCGAAGCGGCGCCATTCGCAAGGCCGGGGTAATGGCCTTGGGTAGCATAGTGGAAGGTCCTACGGCTTTCTGGGTTCTACAAGACTACTAGAAGCCTTGTGATGTAGTTTTTGTTTTTGCTTTATCAGGGTCTTTAGAAGATGGGTCTGTCTTAAGAGCCCTTACGAGGGTTTTATTGCAGATTTTCGGGCTTGAGGGCTTTGGGGTTTTCATGTCTACTTTGAGGTCTGGCTCTCAGAGCCCTAGAAACCTGTGGGGCTCGAAGGTGCATAGCATCGGCTGATTGAAACTGCGGAAACCCTAGCCATTCGGGCTTGTCCTTGCTACGTGGGAGGGAAAAAACATGCCACCAAAGCTTTTTAACCTAAAGCTTTAAAACAAGAGCTCTCATCACTCCTACATCCAAAGCCCCAAAGTCTAGCAGCGGGGCCTGAATAAGGCCCCTGCAAAGCTTTCAAAAAGCGCTGGAAAGCCTTGATGCACTCCTAGAAAGCCATTATACAAACCCAGATACACTTCAAAGCACAGAGCCTTCTGCTCACCACCCCCCAGGCCGTAAGCCTGATATGCTTAACCTAGACCCCAAAAACCCTACACCCGAAGGCATGGGTGTTCCTACTGGTTTCACGCCGGCCCGCACCTATGAACCTCGCCTGGCATGTCCGAGTTGTGAGAGCCTAAACCCGAAATCACCGAGGCTCTGCAGCAGGAGTCCAAAGCCCAGGCGGAGAGCGCCACTCGGCACGGGTTGGGGTGGTTACAGTAGGGGTGGCAGGGGTGGTAGGGTTTCAGAAGAAAAGGAGTACCTTAATCAGGGGATCCCTATCGTAAGGATCCCAGTGGTTGATGTCTCTGTGGAAGCTCCTTGCTTTCCGAAACTCTGATTCGCATGAACAAGGGCGCAGTATGCCTATTCATAGCACTATGGGATAGGCTCTGGCACCCAAAAAACACCCTGAAGAGCAGGACTTGTGATGGGTTTTTGAATCTCCCCTTCCGCATTCCCCCGCAAGCCCCATTAGGACTACCCTAAATAGCCACCAGTATTGTCGTTGAAGCTGATGTTTAGGTTCAGGGTTCCTCTCTGTGCTGCACCTGCGCCCGAGGTCAGCGAAGTTGAGCATGCGGCCGGGCCCTCGTCGGCGTGAAGCTTTTTCGGACTGGATTCGGGTTTTGGGGACTAGGCATGATGCAAGGGCCAGGCTAACTAGGTTTTTTAGGGTTTTCTTCGCTGTAGTTTCGCGAGTGGCACAAATGCTGCCCTCAGCCAGGCCTGACGCTTCGAGTGCCTGTGAGAGAGAGAGAGAAAGAGAGAGAGAGAGGCATGATGCAAGGGCAGGTTAGAGTGCAACAGAAGCAGGGTAAGATGTGGGATTTGGGACATACATGTTCTCGGCTTTCGGAGAATATCAGATTGTGTTTCGATCTGTGGTGTAATAAATACGGATGAAAGTTGTGCTTGCCTCGGCTCCTTTCACCAAATTCGAGTGTTGTGAGCCTTTCTGGCCAGAAGTTGGGGCTTGCTGGGGTGTGGTGCCAAGCTCTCTAGTTTCAAGTTGGGGTGACGTGAGGCACGACGGAGCGCGGAGAGGGAGGATGAGAGACGGAGAGAGAGCCTGACCAGCTCTTGAGCGAGGGAAGGAAGGACTTTGTACGAGGTTCGGTTGCAGGATGTTGAAATCCTTCCAGACCCTACCTAAGATACGAGGTGATGAATTTCCGCCTCATTTCCGACTACAGCAAGAGGAGTGCCGTCGTGGAAGCGTTGCTGAGCTCATACCGTTTCGATCGGGTTCGGACACGCGTAACAGCCCTAAAAGTGCCTTAAACTATCCCCAAACCGAAGTTTGGAGTGAAGATTTCGAGGGGCATGCGGGCTGAAGTATACTTCCCGATGCCGAACCCGTGTTGGCGGTTTTTCGGGCTTGATTGTTCTTTGCAAGGAATGTCGGATGCTCTTGTTCACTCGGCAGGTTTACAATTACAAGGGGTTGTGAGGATTTCAATTCCTTCTTTAAGCACCCATTTGTGTTGGAGCTGCCTGCAATCGGGATCAGGATCAGGAGACACAGACACTAAGTTTCAGCATCCTTGGTTTCTGTGGACTTGCATGACTTACGCTTTGGGGCTGTGACTCCAGTCCTGAATACGGGTGTCCGAGGGTTTAGGGTGTGGATTTTTATTAATCTATCTATTATAAGAAGATTTCTAAAAGCGGCCTATTTTAATAATTTTCGCTTTTGAAAAGATTCTTGAAAACGACATATTTTCATTATTTTCATTTTAATTTCATAATCTAAGAAGATTCCTGCGTGCGGGATATTTTAATATTTTCTTTTATTTTTTTTCGAAAATAATGGAAATTCCGGATCAAACTTGTTTCGTCCTAAATCCTAAATTATAAAAGGTTTCGCCAATATATGCGCCTGCACAAGTTAAATCTTCAAGAACAGATTTAAAAATGAAAGGAGAACAACCGCTAACCTCAATTTCAATTTAAATAAATGGGGAGCATCCTCTTCATATATACTAAATCGGGTCAAGTTCAAGTAAATTCACAGAGTATAGCCACTGACTATAAGTAAGAAAATTGACGAAGAGTTCGGTGCGTGTCTCAGGTTTTGTTTTTCAGGCCTGGGATTCATGGCCTTGGCCCAAATATTCTAAGTCTTCGTCTCGACCCCTCAAACCTTTACTGCCTACCAAAAATCATATAGTGTAACATGAATATAGTGCATCATGTTAGAATATACTATAACGTGCTCTAAGGCAGACACCAGAAGCCTTCGCAGTCGAATCCCAGGTTCGAGTCGAACGTGGTGAACTTCCGCGGCGCGGCGAGGGCGGTAGGCCGATTCAGGGTTTGGGGCCCCGGGGCTTCGGCTTCAGCACCTAGAATCGAAAACCTAAACCCTGAAGCCATAAACTTTTTTCAGCTGCGGCAGATGGTGTTAGGGTTTAAGACTGCGGGTTTGCGGTAAGGGCAGCAGTCGAGTCCCGGGCTTCGATGCATGATGCAGCATTTCAGGGCTTAGCTTGGGTTTCGGCTGCTTACGTTTCAATTATATTTCGTTGGGCGCATCTGCATACATGTGTGCGGATCATCGACATGTGTTGTATGTTTTGCCGCAAAGAAACAGAGCCAACGCAGACATAACTATCCAAGTACGCAGGCATACTACCACTCAACTAGCTGGCCGTGCAAGCACATGCACACGGGACTAACCAAGCGAATGACGCATCAACAGGTAGACACATACATGTGACATGCAAAGTAGAATGCTTCAACACGTTCTTGCTGAAGGTTCTGATGTGGGTACGAGGAGTAGTTTTCCTTCCTTTCGGGTTGATGTGACCTGTTTGTTGTGTTTCTGCTGCTGTACCAGGACCTTGTTGGACTGCTGGACTTGCTGTTTCAGAAAACAAATAACACAAGATTGTCTCTCGGGCCTTGGGACTTAGTGGTTGGCGAGTCGCCCGATCATCCTCTGGAAGCGAAGCTTTGAAGTTTTCAGGGGGTCAGTGAGTGGTCGAGGATTTCGGAATTGGGCCGGTGCGTAGGTTGACGGTTTGAGTACTGCACAGAGGCGACAGAAGTTTCCTGCCCATGAGTTGAAGATTAGAGCTCGGAGTCTCAACCCCCAACCCGAAGGCCTGAACCCTAAGCCTAAGCCATAAAGATCTAAGCACAAACCCGGGCCTCCTACACTTGCAGGGCAGCTCTTATTCAACAACCAGTTCTTCTGCAAGTGGTTGAGCCTCTTGCAGCGAGATTGTGCGTTGGGGATGGGGTTTAGTTTAGGCTTCAGGGTGAGGTTAAGGTTCGGGGTATTGCCCTAAGCCCTAAAAACCTAAACCTGCTGCGCGTGCTTTCTCATCTGTTGAGGCCTTTGGGTCTTTGCAGGGATAAGCTCTTGGGCTTCTTTGTTGGAAGGGTACTAGATCCACATCTCGAATCCCGCTACGACTCAACTCCCTGCTCCTCGAATTGAATACTCTTAAATCCGCAGCATGGAATACTGATCCCCGCTTTCGTACCGGGGTGGTGGTAGGTTTCGGTCGCGTGCATCCGTAGCCTCAGAAAGCCGGAAGCTAGTGGAAAGGCGAGTTTCGGGGTGTGGAGGTTTATTCGGGATTCGGTCTGATGTTGGTTTTGGCTATGCCTCAGCAACGGGTTCGGGGGAGGCATTCCGAGCCGATTTCGGTACACCGTGTCAGCCTTCGGACGCGTCGGCTTCGAAGCCGTGCGCGCAAGGTCAGTTGCTGATCGTCTTCTGGTGTCTTTGCTGACTTTGTGGGTTCCGATTTGGGCACCATGCCTAAACCGGCATGTTGCAGAAGTAGAGGCAGACTCTCTTGTGTAGTTTCGGGCTTCAGAGATTCAGGAGTTAAGGCTTGGAGCCCTGGAACTACTTCGGCCATCCGACTCCGGGTTGAGCTCCTTAGAGTGTCCATGATCTACTCGTAAAAGACGTAGGGGCTCGGGTGTAGCGTGCAATTGGGGCTTCGGCTTCCGAGGC